CCCGATTAAAAAATAGATGGAGGATATGAACAGACACGTCTCCGAAGAAGAAATTCAGGTGGCGAACAGGCACATGAAAATATGCTCCACATCGCTAATCATCAGGGAGATGCAAATTAAAACTGCAATGAGCTACCACTTCACACCAGTTAGGATGGCCAACATCGAAAAGACCAGGAACAACAAATGTTGGCGAGGATGCAGAGAAAGGGGAACCGTCCTACACTGCTGGTGGGAATGTAAACTAGTTCAACCATTGTGGAAAGCAGTATGGAGGTTCCTCAGAACTAAGAAATACCATTTGACCCAGGAATTCCACTCCTAGCAATTTACCCAAAGAAAACAAGATCCCAGATTCAAAAACAAACATGCACCCCTATGTTTATCGCACCACTATTTACAATAACCAAGATACAGAAGCAACCTAAGTGTCCATCAGTAGATGAATGGATAAAGAAGAGGTGGTACAAAAATACAATGGAATATTATTCTGCCATTAGGAGAAATCAAGTCCTACCATTTGCAACAACATGGATGGAGCTAGAGGGGATTATGCTCAGTGAAATAAGCCAGGCAGAGAAAGACAAGTACAAATGATTTCCCTGATTTGTGGAGTATAACAACAAAGCAAAACTGAAGGAACAAAACAGCAGCAGACTTACAGACTCCAAGGAGGGACTAGCGGTTACCAAAGGTGAGGAGTGGAGGAGGGCCGGTGGTGAGGGAGGGAGAAGGGGAATAAAGCACATTGTGATTGGCACACATGGTGTGTGTGTGGGTCATGGAGAAGACACGTAGTGACTCTATGGCATCTTCGTACGCTGATGGACATTGACTGCAATGGGGTGTGTGGGGGGGACTTGATAATATGGTTGAATGTAGTAACGACAATGTTGATCATGTGAATCCTTCATAAGAGTGTATATCAATGATATGTTAAAAAGAAAAAGACCGATTTGCTGCCAGATTTAAAATCAGATTTGAGAGAATCTCTTTTAAGAACTGGTGGAGGTTTATGACCAATATGAGGGGGTAAGGAACTGCAAAAATATATTCTTTTAAAATTGAACTATACAAAATGCTCTGAATAGCTGCACTGACGGCAAACCCTAATTTTTATCTTCTGCTGCCCTCTTGTGGTCATATATGGGAATGACCGTTCAAGATTTGGCGTGCAGCCCCCGTGTGACATAGAATTTGGGGAAAACCCGTGAGAACTGTGGAAGCATAAAAGCTATTGGGGGCTTATGACCAATAGGAGGGAGCCAGGAACTGTAAAAATATATTATTTTCAAAGAATTAAAATACATAAAACTATCTCTGAACAGCTGCACTTAGTACCTGCAAACCTGCAGTTTTTGGTGCTCTGCTGCCCTCCTGTGGACATATCTGGAAATGACAGTTCTAGATAGGGCTTGCCGTTCCAACGTGAAATTGGGTTTAAGAAAAACCTGATTTGAGAATTAGTGAAGCCTTAACAGCTAGTGGGGCTGATGACATCCAAGTAGTCAGGAACTGTCTCTCTATCATTTTTAAGAAATATTTTAAAAAATGCCTTCTGTGCGGCTGTACCAAGTGGCTGCAAACCTGGTTTCTGCTACTTTGCTGTCCTCCTTTGGATATAGGAGAAAATGACAGTTCAACATTTGGCTTGAAACCCCAGTGTGAAGTGGGATTTTTGAGACACATCCCCTAAAAACTGGTGGAGGTTTAAAGGCTGCTGGAGGCTTATGACCACACCAGGTAGTCAGGAACTGTGTATGCATATTATTTTGAAGTGTATACCTGCCATCTGACCAGCTGTCCCAGTCTCCTAAGAACTGGTGGAGGCTTAAAGGCAGCTGGAGGATCATGATCAGTCAGAGGGAGTCAGAATGTATATATATGTATGTACTTTTAAAAAATAATAAAAACATATAATCTACCCTATGACCAGTTGTACCAAATTAGCTACAAACCTGAAGTTTTTGCGTCCTCTGCTGCCCTCCTGTGGACATAGGAGGAAATGAAAGTTAAAGATGTGGCTTGCAGCCCAAGGGTGAAATAGGATTGGGGAAAAATCTGCCCTAAGAACTCATGGATGCTTAAAGGCTAGTGGAAGCTTATGACCAATACCAGGTAGTCAGGAACTGTAAAGACATTATTTAAAAATAATTTAAAAATATAAAATACCCTCTGAGCGGCTGCACTAAATAACTGCACACCCTAAGTTTTTGGTCCTCTGCTGCCCTCCTGTAGACACAGCAGCATATGACAGTTCAAGATTTGGCTTGCAGCCCAACGGGGAAATCTAATTTGGAAGAAACCTCTCCTTAGAACTCATGGATGCTTAAAGGCTGGTGGGAGCTTGTGACCAATACCAGGTAGTCAGGAACTGTATGTATATTTATTTTTAAATAATTGAAAAATATATCTGCCCTCTGACTGGCTGTACCAAGTGGCTGCAAACCTGAAGTTTTTTGTCTTTTGCTGCCCTCCTGTGGACATAATGGGGAATGGCATTTCAATATATAGAGAGCAGCCCAAGTTGAAATATCTGAAACTTCTCCTAAGAACCGGTGGAGACTTATGACCAATTGGAACGAGTCAGAAACTAAAAAATAATATTATTTCTTAATAATTAAAATATATAAAATGCCCTTTGACCGGCTGCACTAAGTGGCTGCAAACCTGCAATTTCTGGTCCTCTGCTGCCTTTCTGTGAACATAAGAGGAAATGACAATTCAAGTTTGGATTCCAGCTTCAGTGTAAAATCTGATTTGGGAGAAACTTCCCCCAAGAACTGGTGGAGGTTTAAATGCTGGTGGAGGATTTGACCAATGAGAAGGATTCAGGAACTGTAACAATATATTATTTCTTAACAAATGAATGAAATGTCCCCTGGGCACCACAAACCTGAAGTTTTGGGTCCTCTGCTGCCCTCCTGTGGGCACAGCGGGGAATAACTGTTCATGGTTGGATTGCAGTCCCAGTGGGAAATTGAATTTGGGAGAAACCAGTCCTAAGAACTGGTGGAGGATTATGAGCAATATGGAAGAATCAGGAACTGTAAAAATATATTATTTATTTTCTTTTTTTCCCCTCATTATCAGCTTATATTGTGATGTATTATTTCTAAATAATAAAAAATACATAATCTGGGAGCCTATCTTTTGCTCAAATTTTCTTCGGTAGTTATACTTCCCTACTAGAAGTTAAAATTAAATTATCAAGTTATTCAACTTGAATGTGTCTAGGGAGTTTATCTCAGGCACATCCGGATTGCAGAAATAAGGCTGTGGCTATAGGACATGTAGATTGTAATAAGCTTACTAGATTAGAACAAAGGAGCTGATAGTTCTGTGTTCTGGGATGGTCAGAGATCCTGTCAATCCCGCTAAAAGCCTGAGTTATTTTGGTCTTTTGAACTTAATTTCTATTGCTCATGGGTCTGACAGGGAATTTATTCATTTTAATTAGAATCAACATCCCTAATGAAAGCCTCACTCTGTCCTTTAAATAAATGTGTCCCTTAACAGTAATAAAAACTTGAGGTCCCAATCAAGAGATCTTGCTCACCTCTCTTATAGGTCTGCTTGAAACACTGAGACCAGTTCTAGTTGCCATCATTAGAGACGCCAATACTGGCAAGAATGGGGAGGAATCTTGAGACATGACAAATGCAGGCTCTTGAAGACAATCAGTGCCATTAGGCTGAAAGGAAGAGGACACAGGAGAGGCATGAGAGCTGGCTTCAGTCCATGGGAAGGGCCACCGTGTAAGATGGACCAAGAGAAGGAACACAGTCACTCCTGACTGTGCTCGGAGCTTTGTGTATCATATCTAACTAGGTGTCCATAGCAATCCCCTGGAAGTAGACAGACTATTGCAAGAAACTAAGTGGGGAGGCAGCACAGGGACTTGCCCACATGGCCTATCTGCTGTGTGCTGCAGCTGGGCCAGGGTTCCTAGACTAGAAGACCGTCTGGCCTCATCTCACTACCACTGGAACAAAATTTCATGATGCATGTGTAATATTAGAGCTTTCTAAATTTAGAGCCCATAAAATGGTGTGGGAGTTATGTAGTAGTTTCTGACCATCAGACATATCCAAGCAAAGGCTTAATGACTATTGTCAAAGATATTGAGAAGGTGATTTATTTATGCCTTGAGGGACTCATCTATGAAGGCACCTTCCAGCCTTGAGATTCTGGGCTTCTATGCTTTGGGTAGGATATACACTTTGGGTATAAAATGGTATTTCCCCCTGTATTTTCCATTTCCTCTTCCATCCCACGCCCCTCTCTCCTTCAGGCGGGTATTCTGTTCTGGGAACATTCCTTTTTAAAGGAAGGGCTGTGGAGGTTGGCAGGCTGGCAGTTTGGCAGTTGGGATGAGAGAAAGTCCATACTCTTCTCTCTGGTTGTTAAGCCTAGTTTTTGACTAAGTTTTTTTTACTAAGTTTTTGACTAGTTAACTAAGGAGATTGTTACACAACTCTGAGGCCAACCTGGAAAGATTAGAGGAGGAAGCGATCGCATCCCCTCTCCTGCAGTCCCTCCAGTTCCTTGGTGCCCTGGATGGGGCAAATTCCAAACCCCTGGATGTAGAATTTAGGGCTGGGATTGATTTAAGATACTCTGCTATCCCATCAGAATGGGAACTTGATATAGAAATCAGGTTGACTTTGGGACAATAAAGTTATATTTCTTACACACCTGGACTTGTGAGTAGAGACCTGTTTTAACCTTGGGAGGTGGAGGGTGTCCCCTTTGAGCAGCTGGAGAGCAGCAGCAAATATGGTTCTTGGTCCTCTGCTGCCCTCGTGTGGACATAGTAGGAAATTACAGTGCAAGATTTCACCTGCAGCAAGAATACTGTACTTGGGACTTGGGGGAAAACTGCCTGAGGAACCCGAGGAGGCTTATGGCGAATAGGAGGGAGTCAGGACCTGTTTCTGTGGGGTTCAGGAGAAAGGTGCAGAACTCATACAAGCTTCCAATGACTTCAGGAGCCTCTCTTTTTATTCGTGATGTTTATTTTTCCTGGAGACACTTGGATCCAGAAAGCGAGCCATCATCGGAAGACCCCCCGGGCAGGCACCTCTGCGGTTTTTGGCCACGATTGGCAGCCACGGACACAGTGCCAACTCCCCAACACCTCCTCCTCATGTGCTTGGAGTAACAAGTCTGCGGGTGTCTCTGATTTTGCAGCTTTTCACACTCTCTGTTTCACCGTCTGTCTCTACGCCACCATCTCGACACACACATGTCCCCGTCACCCTCAGCTCTGCCCGCACAGGGAGGACAGAGATGGTCCTTCTGTTTGGATGAATGGGAGAGGGGACACTGGGCACAAAGCAGGGAAGGGGGCTGCCAATCACCGGGAGCCCCTGGCTTCTGAATCCCCAGGCTGGCTTCTGTCTACGGCCTAGTGGCTTTCTTCCCCGGTCAGCTCCCTCCTGGGCACCCACCATGCTGCCCAAACTCGCCCCCAAGGCCTCTCGCTCTGCTGCCCACTGGACAGGATGTGTCATCTGGGCCTCCTGCTGCCTGCCCCCTGCGCCTCATTCCCAGCGGGGAGCCAGGGCCCCGCGCACCTGGCCTGACCTCCCCCGCCCTCCCCTCACGCCTCCAGACCCTGCCGCAGCCTGCGGTCCAGGGCCAGGAGTTGCCTCAGGAACCCCCGGTTGGGGATGATGCCTCGGTGGTCCTTGACCTTCTTGATGGCCTCCACCAGGGTGAGGTGGTGGTACAGCATGAGGTAGGCCAGTACCAGGGTGGCGGACCGGCTCACTCCCACAGCACAGTGCACCAGGATCCTCCCTGTGGGGACAGATGCAAGAGGCAGCGAGGGCCTGTCTGCAGTGGGCTGCAGGAGGGCTCAGCGACAGGCGAGGGGCAAGAAGGGCGAGCGAAGCGCACGGAGACAGGGCGGGGGGTGGACTAGTGGTGGTGACAGTGTGGCTTCTCGGCAAGCGGGCGAGGGCTGGACAGAATGAGGCAGAGAACGCGCAGCGGCCCAGTGCCTGTAAACTTGAAAAGGGCACAGAGGGAGAGGCTCATCACTGATGTAAAACCCAGCCTCGGGCCAGTAGGGACTTGGCTGATACCTGCTAAGTGCATTCAACAGGCCCTTCCCTCCCTGGCCTCCCACCCTCCTAGCTTGCTCTTTCTAGCAACCATTTTGAAGGGGTATTTAATATATTCCTTATTTATACAGGTAAATATATTGTTCTGATCACTAAAGGTAAAAATAATTGGAAACCACAGAGATATGTAAAGAAGCAAACTGCCTCTCTCTTCACATTCCGGGTTATTTCCTCCTTATCTTAGAATGTATTGTCCTTTAAAAACGGGGATTGAGGGGTACAAACTTGCAATGATAATAAATAGGTCTACTGGGTGAAAAGCACAGCACAGGGCATACATCTGCAACATCGTCATCACTGCGGTGACAGATCCTAACTGCACTTCTGCGGTGAGCATTCCGTAATGGATGCAGCAGTTGAGGTGCTATGTTGTAGACCTGAACTTGATATAAAAAAATGGCTCAGAGAGCATTTTTCTTCCTTGAACCCTGTGTCTTGGCCTTGTGTGTCTTGTCCCTGAGACCCGTGTCCAGGCGGGGGCCACCGTGCCTTCCCTCCTACCTCCCGGCTGGCGCAGCGCCCGGTGGATGAAGTCTGCGGCCGCCTGGAAGTGGGTGCTCATGTCGAAGGCCGGCGAGTCATGGGCCTCGACCCCCAGGTAGCGGATGCCCAGTGCCTCGTAGGCGTCAGGCGGGCCCCGCCACCGGCTGTGCGAGGCGTTGAGGACGTGGGTGATCCCCAGGCGGCGGAGCTCCCGCCGGTTGTTCGCTATGTCCCTGTGCGGAGGAGAGGTTACTGGTGGTGGCGGCGGGCAACCCTCGTCAGTGGCCCGCCTGCTGCTGGGATCTAACGCCGCTGGCGCCATCCTGACGACCCAGAGGGAGCGCCAGGGCGGCGGTGCCCCGCAGGCTAGTCCTTGAGAAGGGGTTGAGAGTATTGGGGGGTTTTGCCCAGGAAGAGACTAAGGAGCTGGGTGAACAGCAGCCCTGATAAAATCCCGAGAGCCTGCCCTGGGGCAGCACATCTTATTTGACCTGCCGCAGGGGTTTGCGGGATTGGCACCGCGTGCAGGGCACTCCACGCAAACAGTGGGGTCTAGCTGAAGGATGACTGGAGCACCCTGGAGGAGAGTCACTGTCCTGTCGCGGGTGCTCTAGCCGAGAGGGGAGGTCACATGCCAGCTGGGATGGCAGAGGGGATTCACACATCAGGTGGGCTGCTGGCCCAGCCACCTCTAATGCCCCTGTCACCCTGAGACCGCATGCTGCTGACCTTGCTCCCCTCTCTAGCTGCCCTGGTGCCTTACACTGTCTTGGATGCCCCAAATCATCTTACATTTTGCCAGTTTCGCCCTGCTCGCTTTTGACACCATCCTGTGTCATGATGTCACCTTCAGGTGTTCACCCGGCCAACAGCCCTGGGCTTAGTG